TTTGGATTTATAAAAACAGATATATTGATTTTATATTAATTTAAATATTCAAATATAATTTTATGAATTTTGAAAAATAATATTATTTTAAATATTTCATGGGAGGCCAAATAGGACTTATGTGCCCACCATAGCAAATTAGGTGGGCCCATTATGTACCAAAAAGGTGGCACGCCCCACCCAAGTGGCTTTCTATTTTGTGGTGTTCAAAGCTTGAGGGAAAAGAAGTAATATTTTAGAAAGCTGAAGCCTTGCGGAAATTTTGAAATAAATTTTGGTTTTTATGAGAAGGTTTAAGCATAAAATAAGAAAAAATAATATTATCATATATTAATTTTTTATTTGAATTAATTGATGGGAAAATGGTTTAGGAAGTAGGGGATAATGGTTCTAGCACCTTTCATATGACATTGATAAACTATCTATGAAATTGACTGCTCATCTGTCTCACCCCACAAGTCACCCAAGATCAATAGTGCATATTCAATCTCACATGAAGAGGCAAGCCATGGAAAACCCTAAAGAAACCCTAAAACCATTTAAGCACTATAAAAAGAAAAGTACCATTCCCAAAATTTGTACACCTTAAACTTTCCATCTCTCTCTCTCTCTTACCCAACTAGGGGTCACACCCCACTTTAAAAAATCTCTCTTTCTCTCTCATCTTGGAAACTCTCTCTCCCTCAAGAACGCCTAAGGGGCACGTCCCACTCTCTCCATCTCTTTGGCTCTCTCTCTCCCACATTGTAAAAAAAGGCTAAGGGTTTAGGCTATGGAGAGTTGTTATCTCTCAAACTAGGTTATAAAAAAAGGTTCACCTAGGATTTGAGTTTTGGTGATCAAAGGAGTCCATGTTTAGCTTGTCTTCACCCCATTACTCTTGAGTTAACAAATTATGTTATTGAACTTGTTTTAAGTGTCTTGACACTGTTATAATATCTCATCCTGAAATAATATAATTTTCTCTTCAAGAAAATTTTGATTTGTGACTTCAAACTTTGTCCATAAACTTACTACTATCTTTTCTCCAACTATAATAAATAGTATTCCATCCACTAAATACATATGAATAGTGGCATCTTATCCGATTCTTCTCAATTATCATTTTTCATAGTCTCAGGAGGATTCTTGCTCTCAAGAATCCCCAAGAACCCCTTTCTCTACAAAATGGCTTATAAAAGCCCCTACTACAGTAGATTTCATGTTGACTAAAATACTTTTGATAAAGAGAACAATTTCTATTGTGGGGGTGATTTTGCGTCATGACCTAACATTTAAAAAATACTTTGTTAAAAATGCTCATGTTCAGGTTTAGACTTCTAAATAAGCAAGGGCATTTTAATGATTTTACTCATAATACAAGTGAGGCATGATCACCAAAATGCCCCTACTTCTTCCTAACTCCAAACCCATAAGATATTTTATTAAAAAAATGAAACATAGAATGTAGAACATGGGGGGCTAGTTTGATTCAGGTTTAGACTTCTAAATAAGCAAGGGCATTTTAATGATTTTACTCATAATACAAGTGAGGCATGATCACCAAAATGCCCCTACTTCTTCCTAACTCCAAACCCATAAGATATTTTATTAAAAAAATGAAACATAGAATGTAGAACATGGGGGGCTAGTTTGATTATTTGACTGAGGCCACTTAATATAGGTCTAGAGTCAACACTACAAACCTGGAATAAAAAAGTTTTATGTCTACAGACTGTATTTGCATCATTTGGTCTTTTCGACCACGTCGAGGATTTCAAAACCAAAACAGAGGCTTGAGGCATTGTTTTAACCA